AACAAATTATGATGAGGATAAGTAGTATCATTGTACCATCTTCTCTGTTATTATTCATTGTACCGTTGTGTAATACATTTTAGCATCTTTGTACTATTCAGGAAGAAAATGGCGATAAGGATAAACAGTAAGAAATTGGCAGTATAGAACAAAAAATCGTGCTGTCTTTGTTTAGAGAAACATTTATTATATATGGGTCACTGAAGAGCAAATCTTTTGCAATGAATTACAAACACATAGAAGTCAGAAAAATGATGTTAGTCGATTGGTTTGCTTCAGAGATTGACACCATATATTGAAATGGCTAATGTAGAGGACGTAAAATGTTTTTGACGTCCTTTTAGTATGTTGGATCGTCATTTGTTTTTCGTTGAGGAGTATAAATCTTCACAGAATGCCACATTCCTTTTAGTGCAAAGTTCTTGAAGAAAAATAGTCTTGTAGGTCCGATTTTGGAGTGTAAACCTTTTGCAAGAGTGAAACAAACGCAATAAGGTCTGAAAATATCGGTGTGGTGAATTTTCTAGGATTCTCCAACGCTTAAATTAGTACTCAGATCACATAATTTGGTCAAAAACAGTAGGAAAAAAGAAAGAAAAAAGCCTAAAAGAAAATATTCTCACTGTATGTGCCATTTCTGAGATATTTTCGTAAAACATGACAAATGGGAGTCTCTGTTTTTTTTTTTTTTTGATAAAAGGAGTCTCTGTTTAGAGAGAGATAGTATGAAGTCGAGTTTGAAATCTTTTAACAGAGAGAAAGTATGAAATCAAAATTGTGCGTAATGAATAAAACATATGAATGCATAATACATGATCGTAAGGTATTTAATAGTACTATATTAGTTTCATGACATGCCTTAGATATATTATTATCATAGAAAAAATAAAAAGATAACCGAAACTGTTATATATGGACTAACATCTTGCATGTGGATCCTATGAATTTAATGAAAATACTCTTAAAATGGAAGATATGATCATAGGAAGAAAATAAAAAAAATTTCTAATAGGTTTGTTTCTTCCTTTTTAGAGCCTTAATTATTAAGTTGAAATATCATCGAATATAAATATAATTTTTTTTTTCAAAATATGGATCATCAGCTGTCACACTGTCACTAGTTCACATTATTGTACTGCCTGTCAATTTTGATTGCA